GACTTGCCTTTGAACAGCACCATTGGATAACTGAAAGTACTGCACAGCCAATAAAGTATGTCCATTATTGTCACATAACAACGAAACAGATGATTTCTTTGATAGGCTGCAGTTAGAGCACTTCGTGTAACATTTGACCATCCATACATAGACACTGTATAGTAACGTGATATAGGTTCAAGAGGATCTTACAGGGACACGGCTTATGGTTGTGAAGAGTTAAGATGTTTATGTAACGTGTTGACAATAAAGGTAAATAGAGGAGAATTGTACTCAGTGGTCAGTGAGAGTCCAACATGTGTTCAAAGAGTTGGACTAATCCACGAAAAAGGTGGTATGGCAGCCTGATGGCTGGTTTGAGCTGTGATGATTAACTGTGTTCAATGGGAGCCCCACTCTGGACAGGGGTCTTTACCAACCTGGCTGCTGAGAAAGGCAGTGAGCTCAGAAAGAGCTTGATTCACTGGCCTCGGGTTTTCTCTGGGCCCTGCTCTCAGCTGGCTGAGCTGCTGGTTCCAATGCCCTTCCTCTGCAGACACCATGGCTGTCAGGGACTGCATAGAAGATAGCATTTATAGAAAATGTATTTTTATCAAGGGATGTCAGGTCAGCTCTTCCACCACAAATTGTTGTTCAGACAGCCAATTATTTGGTTGGGAACTGGGAGCTGCTAGATGAGGAATATAAAAGGGCCCAACAGGACCCCCAGTTCACCAAAGAAGCTGTCATGGCCAGTAAAATATCCACTTAATGCTCTGCTTTCATTCTAGGTTTTAAATATAGGAAATTAACACCTGAGGGAAGGGAAATTTAAAATTAAACCTGTGAAAACGAATGTGTTCATTCGCCAGGCATACAGTATACATCAGACAGGCAGAAATGTAGTGATCTCACTGGGCAAGGCCAGTCAGAGTGTCTCAGCTGGAACAATGAGACAGGTTGAGGGTTTTATTCGGACTGGGATCAGTACAATGATGAGACAGACAGACTCTGCAGTCTCCAGTGACAGAGAGACATGGTCTCTCAGAATAGTCTGACCGCTCCAACAGCTGTGGGGTGGGGAAAGCAGGTGACAGAGAATCATTGGCTGCAGAACCACAATTCCCACAGCTATATTGGGGAAAAGAACTCCTCTACGTCAGCCCAATGGCCTTCAATAGCAGATGGAAGGGACCAAATGGAATACCTTCAGGATCTGTAACTTCTCACCTTCAGAGAGTCTCTCTGTTCCTGTCGTATTCAATACCCTTTGAAGACGTTTTATACTCAGCTGTCTGGGTACTCTGCAGAGGAGATTGACACAAACACCATAAGACATAGCAACAGAAGTAGGCCAATCAGTCCATCGAGTCTGCTTGGCCATTCAATGAAATTGTGGCTGATTGGATAATACATAGCCCCAAGTTCCTGTTCTTTCCCTATTTCCCTATCACTTTTGACACCCTAAACAAAAAACAAACAAAGAATTGGGGGAGGGGGAGAAAGAAGGGAGAGAGGGGAGTAACGAGGGGTGGGAGAAGAGACTGGATGAGAGTGGGG